GAATCCAGGAGCCAAAAGGCCCATGCATGCTTTTTGTCTGCATTTATAGTACATGAGACCTTGCCCAAAGTGGGCTGGTATCTCCAAGGCTATTGGCTGAAGGAGTTCCCACAGCAAACACCTGACACAAGTGATGCTCTGGGGTTTGGATGACACTGACTTGGGAGAGCCAACACTTGCAAACAGCACCCCAGAACGGCCTGCCCCCACCCCACTCTTCGTTTTCACAATACTTGCTTTACAACATTCCAGCACAGTGGAACTTCTGAACAGTTGCTCTCCATGGAAAACATGTTAGGGGAGCCATGGTTGCACGCACCCACACATATTTTGCAGTTTCTGGTAATGCTTCCTTAATTCCTGAAAAATCACTTAACCTTCAAATCCTCAATTTCTCCATTTTTAAGGTAAGAATGACAACGAAAATCAAAGATATAATTAATTTAAAAGAATATTAAAAAACAATACCAGTGGCAAAAGTTACATCATTTTGAAGGAAAGAATTATTATGAAAGAAAAATTCGTAATAATGTTTGCTAGAGGTGGCAAGGCTGACTTTATTTAGAACAAGATATAAACGCAGGTAAAGGAATAACTATGTGGGGGTTTTGTAATGAACAAAGTAGTTTGACTTGAGTGCCATTATCAAAATGAAATGGGCAAGTGGAAATTTGTAATAAATGATGGGGCCTGGTGTCAGTAGATGGAAAATAACTAAAAGAAAATATCAAAGTTAATGAGTTAACTCATTATATATAATATATATTATATTTATATAATATAAAGTTAATCGGCTAAACTGATTGGTAAGGTAAATAAGGAAGGTAGACCAGGGTGGTCACGGGTAGCAGAGAGTCTGTAAACTGATTGGGCAGCATTGTTGCTCAAATCTGATTGGACAAGAGCCTAGAGGTCAAAGTGAAACTGAGAAATCAGAAGAACCTAGCTCAAGCTTCTACCAGAGGGACAGACTGTCAGCATATTAATCCTTGTCAAGGATAATATCATTAACATCTTTGATATGTCAGTATTTCTAGGTTTTGGTATCATAGTGCCTACACGTTTGCTTATGTTATAGAAAGTAGAACTGGGAATTGAACTCAAGTCTATTTGCCCTCCAGACTTAACAGCCTTTCTTTATGCCAATGACTTGCTTTAGATGCCATCTTTTCAGGTGTGCAGGCTACACACTTCTCTAAATTATACACTTGCCGTAGTTGATCCAAGGTCTAACTTCAAAAACAAATCATTCAGTCTCTGCCAGCCCTAGGGATCTTGTTCTGGCAGGTTGATAACTGATTTCTTCATCCTTTTTATAATATCTCAACATCTAACCAACCATAAGAGGCTCTCTGAATATTGGGTCATCTCTCTCCTCTCTCTCTCTCTCTCTCTCTCTCTCTCTCTCTCTCTCTCCCCCTCCTTTTCTCCCCTTCTCCCTTTCCCCTCCATAACCCATTAAATAAATATCCAGCCTCACTCTGCATGACATGCCTATCCGTCTCTTGCCCACCACCACGTGGCTCCCTGTCATGGACCAGCCGCCTTCGGAGACCTGCAGCATGGTCTTATGGCCCGCTGCAGCCACTGGGAATCCTGCAGCATTTTGTTTTTAACATTACACACGTAACACATCAGTAATAGGTGAATGGTTAAAACAGCATAGAGATCCGGGTAAGGCAGCACATGCCTGTAATTCCAGCTACCTGAGAGGTTGAGGCAGGAGAATTATGATTTTGAGACAAAATGGGAAAAATCAAAGAGGCTATTCACAGTCACTCGAAGTAGAGAAGCATTCTGTAAAATAGCTCATCCTCTCTGTTCCTTTTCTCCTGTAACATCCCTGGTGACAGCGCATGACTGTATGAGCAGAAGGATCGCACACCAGAGGAGTGATGACCCCTATCTATTCGCCTCTACTATCTGCTAGTACCAATAGGCAGAGTTCTGCTTACTTCTCATGAGAGCATAAAATTGCAGAATTGAAGCTAGGGAGACTACAGACAAGCTCATACAGCCAGAAACCAAGTTCACTGGGCATCCAGTTCAGCTGCACTGAACCACGATGTACTACACCTAGAAACCCAGTAGAGCCTTCACATGTCTGAGCCTGAAAGAAACAAGGGACTCACCTCACCCACACCCCTTATTTTGGAAAAGGCAAATTGTGTTGTGTTAAACCTTATCAGGTAAAATGCCGTTCTTCACACTATCCAGTTCACCTAGTCTAAAATGAGATTTCAAGTCATCAAATTGGTTTTTGTGAGCTATGACACATACTTTCCCTGTCCCCTAGTACAGTCGGATAAAACCGTGAATTAGCTGAGCTCCAGCAAACCACAACCACAGACTTTCTGCACATTCTACCTTGGAAAGAGTCACAGTTTCTTAGTGTATGCATTTTCTGTTTCTAATTTTCCCAATGTGTGTTCCTTCGGTAGCAAAGAATTTTTTGGAGGGATGTTTCAAGACAGGATTTCTCTGTAGGGTTGGAGCCTGTCCTGGAACTCGCTCTGTAGACCAGGCTGGCATCAAACTCACAGAGATCCGCCTGCCTCTGCCTCCTGAGTGCTGGGATTAAAGGTGTGTGCCACTGCTGCCTGGCAAGAATATTCTTAATAAAGAAACTTGGTGAATTAGACGGTGGCGAGTATTTTGTAAGACAGCTTTTCATGTACACAACTCAGTGTTTTTCATGTAGTTACAGATATGCTCCTCATCACAGTGAGAAGCTGTATACTAGCAACCACACCCTTATTTAAGCATCCCCTCAGCCCTAAGCAACCACTAATGTACTTGCTGTTGCTACAGTTTTGTCTATCCTGGGTATTTCTTATAACTAGATGCACTTGTGTGTGACCTGTGTAATCTGCAGTCTGTGTGACAGACGTCTTTGACAAATTACACTGTGTTTATCCAACAATGCATAGACATCTGGACACTAGGCTATGTCCATGTTTAGTCATCATAAAGAGTATTGCTATAGAGCTGGAGAGACGGTTCAGTGGTTAAGAGCAGTGGCTGCTCTTCCAGAGGCCCTGAGTTCAATTCCCAACAATCACAAGGTGGCTCACAATCATCTATAATGAGATCTGGTGCCCTCTTCTGACCTGCAGACATACATGCAGGCAGAATATGGTACACATAATAAATAAATCCCTTAAAAAAGAGAGTATTGCTACGAAATTCATGTATGTTTCAGATTGGATATTTATTTTCATTTCCTTTGATTATTTATCAATGAGTGGAATTGCTAGATCATAAGATGACTCTAACTGTTTTTGAGGAATGGCCAAGTCATTTCCTACAGAAAGAGGTATTCTTTAACATTCCCGTCAAAAACTTAAGAGAGTTCTAATTTTTCCTTACTCTCACCAACACAGGTTATTTTCTGTTTAGTGAGATTTAATTAAAATTAAATTTTAATAGCTTGATTTAAAAATATTATTGTATCCACTGGAATAAATATTTAGTGGCATCTTGTTTTGGGTTTAATTTTTCTAATCTCTAATGCTATTGAGATTTTTTCCATTTGTTTGCTGACAATTTATATGTCATTGTGAAAAAAACGTATATTTCAATTCTTTTCCCTTCTTATCCCTTGGATCCTTTTTTTTTGTTGTTGTTGTTGTTACTATTGTTTAGTTGGAAATCGCTTTATATATTCTAGATTCTAAGACCTTAACAGATCAATGATTTTTAAACATTTCTTTCCATTCTGTAAGCTGTCATTTTATTTTATTAAGCTTTTTTGAGCCAGCCTATTTTGTAGAGAGAGTTTTAGGATAGCCAGGGTTAAACAGAGAAGCCCTGTCTCAAGAACAAAGACAAGAGAAAACAAAAAGTTGAGTTTTCCAATTTTGTGGAGTATAGGTTTTCAAAATATGACCTGATGATCCTCTGTATTTCCTTTTTGTCTGTTGTTGTGTCCACCTTTTTATTTCTGATTTTGCTAATTTGGATATTTTCTCTTTGCCTTTTGGTTAGTTTTGATAACGGTTTGTCTATTTTGTTGATTTTCCCGAAGAACCACCTCTTTGTCTCATTGATTCTTTGTATTGTTTTCTTTGTTTCTATTTTGTTGATTTCGGCTCTCAATTTGATTATTTCCTGCTGTTTAGTTCTCTTTGGTGAGTTTGCTTCTTTTTGTTCTAACACTTTCAAATGTTCTGTTAATTCACTAGTATGGGAACATCTTTACTTTAAAAATATGTGCGTATGTGTATCTGAGGTGTGTGCATGTATTTGTGTATCTACATGCACATGCATGTTTGTGTGTCTGTAAGAATTAGGTGTGTGCAGAAGTCAGAAGGCAACGTTGGTTATAGCTGTTTGCCTTCCCCACTGTTCGACGTGTCTCTTGTTCACTGCTGCTCATGCAAGGCTATCTGGCCTGGAAAGTTCTGGGGATTCTCCTGCCTGTCTCCCATCCTACTGCAGACACATCGGGATCACAGATGTGCACCACCACTTCTGGGGTTTTTCCTGCCTGTCTCCCAT